CTACTACTACTACTACAACTATTAGCAGGTTTACTATTACCCCGACAGGCCTCGATTCAGAAACAATTTCCGGTCGGACATTGGCAGCATCCCCCGATTCAGAAAGTAAACATCGTCGATTGGCAACCTCAAGATCCCCGGATTCAGAAGCTAAAATCCTTCATCTGGAAACTGAAATCCTCGAATCAGAAACTAAAACTCACCGATTCGGAAATTCAAATCCGCGACTCAGAAACTTCAATCCCCAATTCAGAAAGTAAGATCCCCACTTCAAAAACTTAAATCCCCAGTTCAACGAAACCCAGAGTCACCCAAGCCATGGGAGTCGGGCTTGGTGTGGTTGCATAATCTTGCTCCATCTCAACCCACTAACAGTATTCTGCACTCACAAGAAGCTCGAATTGCTCGAGGTTGGGCTCGGGGAGGCACAAATTCTCATCCCAAGCCACCGACAATATTCTTTAGGTGGACCTCCCACCCAGCAATAGTGACTATAAGAGATAATGGTGATTCTATCAGGGCCCTCTTCTATTCCTACTATGCCACTATTACAGGGTGGGGGTTCCACCTAAAATATTCTGCGCTCACAAGGGGCTGGAATTCCTGGAATTGCTCGGAGTCTCCGCATTCGGCTTTGGGGTTGGGGGAATAAATCCCGTTTCATCTGAACCCACCAGCAATTCTGCACCCATAAGGGGCTGGAATTTCTCAGGGTCTCCTTGAAGAGCTTAAGGCCTTTCAGAAGCTCAGAGTGCCTTTCCACTGCTTTTCCACTTTGGGCGAGTATGCAATAATGTTAAAACCCTAAACCCTAAACCCTAAACCCCAAACCCTAAACCCTAAACCCTAAACCCCAAACCCTAAACCCTAAACCCCAAACCCTATAATCCCTATGAAGCCAGAGCTTCTGCGACCTGGGGGATGCAGCTGCTTGAAGCAGGACGGCCTGAACACCAGGTCTAGTTTACAAATCAGGTTAGTATAGTTTAGGGTTTAGTGTTTAGGGTTTAGGGTTTAGGGTTTAGGGTTTAGGGTTTGAATGAACCAGGGGTTCAGCTTGCGATTTTAGTGTACGAATCAGCGGGTTGTAGTTTCCGAATCAAGGTGTGACCATTATTGCTACTACTCATGCTACTCCTACTCCTATCCCAGACCCTCGAAAGGATCCAAAAGATGGAACACCGTAATACTCCCCGAGTTTCCCTAATGTAGCAATAGGTTCATATTTGGGGGCGGGTCCGTTTTTTGGATTCTTTATGGGATCTGTTGATATTAAAGATCCTGCACGACTTTACTATGCTACAGTACTAAAATTTCCAAGGTATGAGATATGTAGACTCATGCAGGATTTTTAGTATCCACCGCATTGTGACAACTGCTAACCATAAACCCTAAACCCTAAACCCTAACCCCTAAACCCTAAACCATAAACCCTGCTAGCTGGGTTGCAGCTTCAGGTTGCAGCTCCAAACGCAGGCGGAGGAGAGGGAGACGGCGATCAACGCACGCCAGGAGGGGTTTAGCGTTTAGGTTGGGTACTGCCCCCCCTCAGTAAGAGTTGGATAATAATTATAGTATGGGTATATATAGCCCTTAAGAGGACCCCTAATATAGACTGTTACTGGGTAGGGGTACCCAACGTTTAGGGTTTAGGATTTAGGGTTTAGGAGACTTTGGAGTGTAGGATTTAATGTTTAGATGACAATAAAGCCCTCCCCTCCAGAACTTGTTTTGCGATTCGGGCTTACGGAAGGGGGGCTCGCAATAGTGAATGACGGGGACATGGCTAGGACCAGGTAGTGCAGTTCGCAATACTTGTAGGACAAGTAGAAGGGAATTTCTGACAATTGGGATGTTTCCGGCCGGACAATTATATTATTGCCACCCCTTTAGTATTGTGATTTGGACTTGTTTATGTATTTCGGGCTCCGAACTTGTTACAAAGCAAATTTGATTGCCCAGACTTTTTCCCGGATGGCAAGAAAACGCTATTGTCACCCCCTTTATTAATGCTACCTAAACATTAGGTTCCAGAGGGTTTGAAGTTTAGGATCAAAATTCCCGGGATTGGGAGGGAACTGGGAGCATTCGTATATCTAGGGTTCAGGGTTTAGGGCTCCCTTGAACAAGGGGGGGCTTTTTCAATCCGGACTGTAGTGTTTGTGTATATCAGGGATGCCCTATGTTTGAAGAACCCGAATGGGATTGCGAAGGCCAAGGACTCTTTTGTCCGGCTTAGATTTAGGGACGAGTCTTGAATTCGCAAGGCATTTCGACGTACCCAAAATATGCCAGTCTGATGCTTCAAAAACATGAGCATGGAGCATGCATGCAGCGTCAATGGCACAGTCGATCAGGATCAGCATTTCCCTAAACCCTAAAAAATCCCAGATGACCAAGAGGATCCCTACTCTTTAGGTATTCTGCTTACAGAAGTTCTCACGTTCGCAAGCATGCTTCAAGCTTGGGTCGTTGCTTGTTGTGCATGAGTACCACAGGCAGGTGACTTGTGACAGACGCCGGGGCGGTTCCCGAACCCTAGGGTTTAGGGTTTAGGGTCCCTCAACCCTAAGCCAGGTCTGCAACATGGACCCCGGAACCCTAAAGCGCAAAACCCACAAGGGTAGGTTGTCGAACTCATGTTTGGGGGCCTAGTATAGTATGGCTTTAGGATACACAAGCAGGAGCCATATTCTTGTCTATCCCCCGTAAAGTCTTAAAAAACATCCTTGCTAGGAGCTTCTTCAGAGGGAGCACCAGAAGGCACGGGTCGTTCTGCAGCCGGCTGCGCTCCTCCGCACCCAAAGCAAGTTGAAGAAGCGCACTTATACAGAAAGTCCCCCTTGAGTAGATAGAATATAGGGCATATGGGGATCTTCTTTTAAAATACCCAAAGCCATATGCTATCTACTTAAGGGGACTATTAATAGATAAGGAATAGGTGTACAAGTATAAATGCAGGCAACATAGGCTTGCAGGGAACTCCGTCAAAGCGCTCTACAAGGGGGCATGTGTGGTTCGGGGGGCAATGGGATGGCTTGGGCATGAAGTGCAGAGCATAAACCCTAAATCCTGGACCCTAAAGGTGTGGGAGGATTTGCAGAAGACTGAGAAGAAGCACAAGGACAAGGCACGGCAGTCTGTTATGCAAAAGGACAGGTATGTGACTGCTTTGTCAACTTTTGGTGAAGTATCTTATTTTGGTAGGCGGCCTAGTTGTGATGGTAGACTACTTGTGCTCGCATGTGCTTCTGGAATGTGCCAGCTGATGCTGCCATGACAGCACAATAGTACCATGAACAGCACTTCCAAGCACCCCGCTGTCTTGTGATAAACAAGTGTGTACATTAGGTGGACCCCCCACCCTGTAATATTGGTATAATAGGAAAATAAGAGAACCTCAATACAGTTGCCATTATCCTTTATAGTCCCTATTTCCAGTATACAGGTCCTGTTGGACTACGTGTAGGCCTGTCCCTAGTTGGACCCTAAACCCTAAACCCTAAACCCTACACCCTAAACCCTAAACCATAATCCCTAAACCCTAATCCCTAAAGGATCGGAACCTTGCCATGCTGTCCGAGCCATGCAAGTGGCAAAGCCCTGTGCTTCAGGAGAAGAACTTGCGGGCCTTCACCCGCCTGGCGCCGGAGACTTGTTGCCAACTCCCAAAAGCTGGGTTGCTGTTAAGGAACTTAAATTAAGTTACCATAATGGGTGTATATAGTAAATAATAAGGTTTCCCCAATATAGTAACTTAATTGAAGTTCCCTAACACCAACTCCCAAAAGCGGTTCATGAGTGTTCTAGTTTCGACTATAGCTCGACTGACTTCTGAAGTGAATCGTCCCATCCTTTACCTGCACCCTGGATGTCCTAAATTCTTGGGATCTGCCCTACAAAAAAGTAGGGCCGAAGCCCAACAAGGAAGGACTTCCAGGGTCCAAGTATCAACCTCATCTTAGATACATAGACATATCTACTTAGATATGGTTACATATATATATATATATATATATTTGTATATATGTGTATGTGTCCTCTACATCAATAGTTGTTATGCTAACTTGTGACAGTTGCTGCAAGGCAAGAGGCCTTCTCCATGGTCACAGAGCTGCAGGCCACGAGCTCTCAGAACATGAGGGGCTTCTTTTTCCACCCGAAACTCTAAACTCTAAAGCTTAAACCCAAACTCTGATGTTAGTTTGCCCAGTCACTGCACTGGTTCTGGACCCGACGTCTTTTGCCGTGCCTGCACTGCTGTGCGATGCGCGTGTCTAAACCCAAACCCTACGTGTCTAAACCCTAAGCCTTAAACCCTAAGAGTAAGTTGTCAGGAGA